CTTATTTTCGAGCTTTCTTTGCTACGTCATTTATATCTGCCTTAGGTAATCACCGATTTCCTCTTCTAGTATCAGGTCGGGCATTGAACTCTCCAGAGAAATTATTAAGTGAAAAATTAATTTGATTATTCTGATTAATGGATTTGATGGCAGGGGACGGATTGTTTTTCCACAGCGTCCAGACCGGTTCTGAGGCCCACACAGCTTCCTATCCAATGGATACCGGTGGCTCTTTTCCCGGGGTTAAGGCTGCCGGGGCGTGAAGCTGACTACTCATCTCCGTGTAGTGTCGAGGTCAAGAATGACAGAGCTGTGCATTCACTCTCAAATGTGTGAGTTAATTAAGAACAGGGACAACTCAACATTGCCTTGAAAGGTAAAAGATAAAGCTGTCTTTGTAACAGGTCGTGGAGGTCGATAGGTTTGTGAGACGTCGAGGCTCCCACATGTTCTAGAATATCGGCTTATAGATGGCGGTGAGATTGTGAGCTTTATGCACCTGCCGCCCTTAACCCCCAGGAAGATTTCTGGTACTCATTTCTGTTAGAGGCTGAGTCGACACTAGGGCCATAGTGCGGCTGGAAGGATTAGGTAAATTGGAAAAAAAAAAAATCAATGACCTCATCGGGACTCCAAACCGGGATCTTCCGCCTTGTAGCATAGTGCCTCTACACTTACCTTACCTTAAATGATTTACTCGTAATGTATTCATAATTTGCACTGCTGGCTCAGAGAGTTCAATGTAATTACAAATGTTACTGTGTAACGCATCTCTTGAGAAATGGAATTTAGCCTCTCTCTGCGAGATGTGGATGGAGAGGAATACCTGCATTTATACTCGTCCGCGTAACATATGTGACGAAGAAGTTGCCGAATACGCACGGCGATACGTTATTGCGTATAACATTTCTAGACTGTAAGATAAGTTCTTGTTCATCTACACGTGAACAGAGATAGCGCAGTCGCTATAGTGACTGGCTACGGGGTGGACGGACAAGGGTTCGGAGTTCGAGTCACAGTAGGGGCATGATTTTACTCTTCATGTCCGGACCGCTTCTAGGGCCCACCCAGCCTCCTATTCAACGGGTACCGGGGGCTCTTTCCCCCGGGGTAAAGCGCGGCAGAGGCGTGAAGCTGACGGCTCACTTCCAGCTATTACCGAGGCCGAGAATATGTGGATCTCTGCATAGGTCTTGTTGGCGCAGTGCTTAATTAGTTACGCACGGGGACAACTTTACCTTTTACATCTACACGTATCATAATTTCTGTAGAAATTCGCTGCCAGACTCGTTTCAGCTTGTCACCCATCTTCAGTGCCTCCCGGATCGTGGCCTGTAAACCACTGACTCTATATTCCGTACTTATCGTCACTGATGTTCAGCTGTTTCTGTGAGTTCGAGAAGTGTGTTGTTTTGATTAATGTACTGTTCATTTACTGTTAATCCCATTTTCGTTTCATCCTTCCTTGTTAAATTTGTGCATAATCTAAAATTGTTTCTGGTCGTTCATGCAACGCCCATTTTTCTATATTCATTCCATACGTTCAGGCTACGTTTTGCATATTTGGTGTCGTTATTACTGTATTCGACGTCGAGGATATGTTCCTTTTATCTCGCTTCGAAATGTCTCCCAGTTTGTTATATATATATATATATATCATTCTCTTCGTAGATACCTATATCTTCCTCTCCAATAGCTAAACTTTCCCCTGTTACCTTTACTGGGTATACACGCAGTGATGTTGTGTTGTGTATTATGAGCTTTATCTCAGTTTCTATGGAAACGCAAAGGACAGGTACTGTTGATAAGCATTTGTTTTTGTTCATGGCAAGACTCGCTATTTTTATTAATTTCTTCAATATTGTAACGTGTTTCGTTACTGAATACGCCGTAGAGATCGTTAATTGGTTTATTTAACAACCTATAAGTAACGGCTACAATTAATTATAACAATGTTACGGGTTTCCACACTTTACAAACCCTACAACCAAATCTCTTCACACTATCTTCAGTAGTCTTCACGTATTAATAACGCGGGAGCTATACAAGTCTCCCTGAATTACACACTTTCACTCGTAACACGCCGCTGGCTAGATTCCAACTCTGCTCGCAGGCTGCTGCCTTGAGGACTGTTGATAACACACTCCAAATATAACTGTACTACAGCACTCACTAAGTCTCGAAAGCACACAATAAGTCTTCCGCTCGCTGACTTAGTTATCGCACACTGTCACATAAAATCTTGTAACCACGCGTTCGGGTCTTCTTATCGCGACTGCTGCTATATGTCAACTCGACTCGTAGGCTTGCTCGGAACTAACTCGGAGGTAGCTCGAGGACTCACTGTGAATAGCCTTCGCCGCTCCTTATGTAGCCTCGTTCCGGACCATTGTCGTCTGGTGCCGTGTTGCTAGCAACGCTGTCCGGAGTTGTTGACTGCTGCCTAGCAACCGCGATATCCCTTGGTGACGTCACCGCTGTTGACTCGCGTTGCGTAGCTACCAGGTTGCGGGAACTCGGCTAACTTCGGCTCCGCGGGGAGAGTGGCGGGGTGATGACTCGCCTATTACCGGCGCTACGTTACCGCCACGTGCCGCTGGGGAGGTAGGGGTCCTCCGTTGCGCAACATGTCACAATATTTAATCAATTTTATATCAGGAGTACAGATAGAGGCGCAGGAGATGTGTGTGTGTCAGAGAGAGAGACAGAGACAGACAGAGGGAAAACTGGCGAGTGACGGCCCGCTCGAGTCACCCCAGTAGAAAGGAGAAACCAACATTTGTGAAACGCTTAAGATCGTAGAAGAGGAGGCCCCATTTCAAAACACGTCAAAGTTTTGGAAAGAAAAAAAAATGTGGTCATACGTCCCGACGGGACCCGAAATCAAGCTTTGCTGTGCCGGTGAGGGCCAGCAGCAAATTAACCGACCCGCGGACTGCAGAGAATCAGTGAAATTTATTCAATATAAATCCGTTCTTTTCAGTCTCGCAAATGGTTTACGGAAGGAGAAAATAGATTCATGAATTGTATCCTTCCACTCAGTGAAAACATCCCTATAAATTTATGCATCTTCTGAAAACAGAAATATAATAAGCAAAATTAGACTTTCAAGTATCATCATCATCATCATCATCATAAGGCATTTTTTTATTTATACGCCAGGGAAAGAAAATAATTCAAGGCTGAAGAGGACGACCATCGCGGATACTTGAATAAGAAACTCCATAGCACATCAGAACCTAAGCTGAAGTGCAGCCATAATAACAATGGGAGCATTAATTATAAGAAGAATATAAATTATCCCTGTAACAGGCCGTGAAGTTTCAGAGGGTTGTGAGACGTGGAGTCTCCCACATTTTCTCTAGAAAATTGGTTGTCAACCTTACGCGCCGGCCGCCCTTTACCTTCCAGGAAAATTCGTGGTACTCATTTCTGTTAGAGGCTGAGTCGACCCCAGGGCTGGAAGAATTAGGTGAACTGAAAAAATCCACCTCAACGGGACTCGAACCCGCAAGCGTTAATTATAACGATTTTAATTTAATTTTAACTTTTAACTACCTAACTCGGTGGATATGAGCCCTTCTTTAGAAGCGGCCAGTCGCTCATCTACTCCAGAATTTCCCAACATTTTCGAATCCAAAATTTTATTAACGCTTTCACAAAAGAACTCCCCTGGTCCCTATCCTTAGCCAGATGAATCCAGTCCATACTACCCCATCCTATCTCTCTTAAGGTCTATTTTAATATCTTCCATCCTACGTTTAGACCTTATTTTAAAATTTAATATCGTCCAAATTTAAAACTGAAAAATATTTTTTTTAACTTGAACGACTCTGCAGGGCAGACAAAAATTTCCTTCCGCAAGGTGGCGGACGCAGACTAGTACGTGGAGTATTTATACATGTAGTTTCTGCGGTAAGTGAGCCCGGCCCGCTGTACTCTGCTTTCCAGCGCTGTGGGACAATCTACGAACGGCCAGGATCTGCCGTAGTGCGAGAATTGGAGAGGTTTCGCAGGAAGTATATACATCCGGCGCCCGTCTATAGTCAGGTGGTGTATGTGGTGGCACTGCGGATACAACGGCTCCAGTTACTTCATCCACATTCCCCCCTACCCCGTTTCTGATAAAGGAAATACGAGAATCGTCAATAAATTATTAAAACTTATATCAGTTTTGAGTTTTTCACAGAGGTGTCGAGGAAATTACTATCTTCTGGGTTAGGACGATGTGTATTCCGGTACATTTTCACCGACGTTTCGAACGAACATTCTGCTACATCTTCAGCATCGGAGAGTAAACCTTAGAGTATTCACCCCTGTAAAGAGTTGAGGACGGTGACTGCGAAGATTACTATCTTACGGAATGTGACGTCATGTAGTCGGTAGAAATTCATCGATGCTTCGGAGGAGCATTATATCTCCATCTTCAAGATCGGAGAGTAGGCGACGAAAGAAGGCTGCAAGCAAAGTCTCCTTCCTCTTGCTGCTCAATTGTTTGGAGTACTCTTTTACTATGAAAATGACAGCGATATGTTCCTCCGAAATTCATTGAACTTATACCAGACTATATGGTGTTATATTCCAGAAGAAAGGTAAAGTTGTCCCTGCGCTTACTTAATTGAGCACTACACCATGAAGGTTTATGGGGGAGTGGATGTATAGATCAACATTTTCTTGACCTCGGCACTAGCTGGAGGTGAGTGATCAGTTTCACTCCCCGGCAGCTTTATCCGCGGGAAAAGTTCTCCTGGTTTCCATTGGATAAGTTGGTTGTACCCCAGAGCCAGTCTGAATGACGTGGAGAAGAGAAAATTCTTGACCTTACCGGGATTCGAACTCCTACCCCTCTATCATGCATGCCATAGTCATTCGCTATATTGACTACTCTACCACGGCTTCTAAGGGGAGTTAATAGTATGAAAGCTTATATAACAAGCGAAGAGACTTGCCGTTGAATTTCACCGGTTAATGTTTCTAACCTCTATTTCTCGTTGTTTCAGATTAGAGGTGGGAGGTCTGCGTGCTATGACCCAGTCCCGCGAGGCATTGGCCATGATGGATGGAACCACTGTCACTTTTAGTAAACGTCGAGGTTATGTTATGAGTCGCTGGGGTATAATACTTACAGCGGCTGCGTTCCTGGCTGCAGTAGTGGCTACTGGACTTCTTGTGTACAAATTTGCTTCTTGCGCAGAGTACGAGCCCGCTGGCACCTATCCCACGGACGGTGCGCACAATGGTACCAGCAGGGTGGTAGTGCCCGCGCACGCTACAGAGCCCGCCATTCCCCACACTCCATCAACTAAGTCTCCGAAACTAGACGTTCGCCTACCGAGGGCTGTGTTTCCAGACTCGTATACGATAAAGATTATTCCTTTTATATATGAAGGGAACTTTACTTTCAATGGAGAAGTAACCGTTATTATAAACGTGACAGAAGCGACATTAAATGTTACATTGCATTTTAATGATATCAAGATACATGAAAATACAGTAACAGTGACAGAACATACACCAACAACAGATGGAAGTTTTACAGGTAAGATACGCTGGAGTGTAAAAGGATTCCTTTTCTAATGAAAAAGTTTCGTATTTTTTTTTTTACTCCAATAATTATACAATCTATCCATTAAGTGTGGATAATAAGTACATTTTGTGGTTTACATATAGAAAAGGAAAGAGAACTTGTCGTGGTGAGCATGTTCCAATGAACCTGCTCAATACTTATTTTAACTGCTTAGTGATATGCAGTTAAGTGTTGAATTATTCAAATCTGGTGGGTAAATCTGAAGGTTTGAATCTGTTTAACCTCCTGATTTCTCCTTCGTCGTCGAGCAGTTTTTGTGCCAAGTCGTTCGGATGGACCTGGAGTCTGATTTTATACATGTTTCGTATTTATTGTGAAGAATTTGTAAAACCTACCTTTCCTATTGATCGCGTTTTCTCGTCACCAGAACCCAGGGCACAATCGTGACATAAAGTTACCTAATAGAGCCTTTGAAAATGTGTCACAGTTCAGATATTCGGGAACGACAGTAACAAATCAGAATATGGTTTAGGAGAAAATTAAGAGGAAATTGAATTCGGGGAATGCTTTCTACCATTCAGCCCAGAATATTTCCTCTTCCTGTCTCCGTGAGAAATCGTAAAAATTAAAATATACAAAACTATAATTTTGCCTTTGGTTCTGTATGGGTGTGAAACTTGGTCTCTGACATTAAGGGAGGAACATAGACTGAGGGTGTTTGAGAACAGGGTGTTGAGGAGAATATTTGTGCTCAGGAGGGATGAAGTGACAGGAGGTTGGAGAAAACTGCGTAATGAGCTTCATAACTTGTACTCTTCTCCAAGTATAATTAGAGGGATCAAGTCAAGGAGGATAGAGCTGTTTCAAGGAAATATCGGCTCCGGTCTACAAAACCGAAATTAACGGCCGTGGGGATCCGTTGCGCTGACCAAGTCACAACCTCTATCCGCTAAAGTTGGCACTAACTTCCCCGACAAGCGGAGGTCGCTCGGTCGGTATAGTTCGCTTGCGGACTCAAGCCACGGAGTTTATTTTTTATCCAGGCAAATGCCTGGATAGCGCCTAGTTTAGTCCACGACCGCTTCCTTCCAAATCCTTTCCAATCTATCAGTCATATTCGACACCATAGGAATATACTCGTTATACTGAAGAAGCCCCTGAATGACGCACGAAAGATCATCACCACCGTCTCACCGATTCCTCGCTCCATGTCCTGTGTAATTTGTGAAATATTTTCGAAGTATATTTTCAATTTGTCAGCACGATTTTTTTAACAACGTCGTCAGAAACTCGGACTAATTAAACTCCGTGTCTTGAGTCCCCAAGCGAACTATACCGACCGAGCAACCGCCACTTGTCGGCGAAATTAGTGCCAACTTTAGCGGATAGAGGATGTCGCATTGTCAGCGCAACGGATCCCCACGGCCGTTAATCTCGGTTTTCTAGACAGGAAACTTGGACTAATAGCATTGAATAATAGAACAATAGTGAATGATGAATTAAAAAGGATCTGGAAGGAAGCAGTCGTGGCCTAATATAAGTATTATCCCCACATTTATAATTTTCATTTCGTGCATCCTGTTGTGTTTTTATACATAATTTTTTACCGGAGTCCGTCGTAACACAACAACAAAATAGACAAGATTAAAATTACCTTAGCTACATGTTTCACCTTTTAAAACCATCATCAAGCAAACACATGATTACTATATTATACTATATTATAATGCATTGTATTTTTATACCATATGTTTTCTAATGTAACAGTTATCAAATGTCCAGCTTTACTATCGCAATTGCAGTTCAATAGTGTGTGAATATAGTAATCATGTGTTTACCCGATGATGGCCTTAAAATGTGAAACATTTCCCCCCCCCCTTGGCAATACAGCCCCAGTGGGCCTAGGCCTACCTCCATGAACTTCTCCGTTCACTTCGGTTTTTCTAGATCTTACACATTCGGTAGGACACCTTGGGCGGGTGAACAGCTCGTCGCAAGGCCTCTACCTGTATACAAACACAGAAAAACGCACACACACAAACTAAACATCCACGCCCTGAGTGGGATTCGAACCCACGATCCCTGCTTCCGAGCTAGCGAAAGCAGTGCATGCCTTAGACCGCTCGGCTACCGTGACCGGCGGTGGAACATGTAGCTAAGGTAATTTTAACCTTGACCATTATGTTGTGTTGTTGTTTTTTTAATTCGCTTAGTGGGGGGGAGTCCAACTGGGTCCACTCGGCACGGCGGCCACTGATTGGCCTGTTGTATCCTGCCCCGGGTAATTATGATGATGGAGAATTTGGTAGGGGTAGATTGGCAGGGGAAACCGAAGTACTCTGAGAAAACCCGCCCCAGCGCCACTTTGTCAAACATAAATCCCACTTGACCAGACCCGAGATCGAACCCTGGCTGCCGCGATGGGAAGCCATTGACTAACCGCTTGAGCTATGGCACGGCCATGTTGTGTTACGACGGAGTCCAATAAAGAATTGTATATTATTCCCACATTTTCCTGGAGGGGCCGAGGAAAATCACCAATAATTTTGTCAGGACGGCTGGTGCCCCAGAAAGAGTTTCGAACCGAGCACTTCCCGAATTCAAGTATAGAGCGCTAGCTGCTGTACTTCCTGCCCATTGTCAACATGTTGAATCGCGATGGTTTATAATTTAAAATGTTGTGTAAAATGGATCTTCCTAATTCTTCAATGTCTCCACTTTCATTTACAGCCCTTCCAAGTACACTTCCCCATTCATCTCACGTACTTCGTTTCATCAGCTGTAATTCTGCATTCACTGGTCAACATTCACTAA